TGTTTTGGTAAACAAGAGACATACTGCAATACACTGGGGACAAACCAATGCAAAGTAGATTCTACACATCTTTAATTGTATATTTTTGAGTTATATTAGTGGCAGTCAATCTAGTCTCTAGCTCCTACTAGTGGGCGTTCAAGCTTTCATGGTGGGCGGTATGAGTTTTCTCGATATTGTAGCACTTTTTTAAAAAATTTAATTGACTTTTAAAAACCTTTCAATGAAATTTTTTTAAAGTTTTCATAGAAGTTTTTAAAAACATTTTCATTGGGTTTTCATGAAATTCTTTAGTACTTATATTTTATAACGAGCAGTAAATTAAAATATATTGTGGAAGCAAGCTTTAGTGATGTTAATCATAGTATGACAAATGACTGTTAATCATAGTATGACAGACAGAACTTCTAAATAGAAAAATGAAAAAATTTAATAATGCAATTAAAAAATTGCATATTGTAATAATAATGTGATTATATAATGTGACTTTTTAAAAATAAAATTGTGTGATGTATTTTTATACCTTTTAATGACAGTTTTAATCAATTAATAGTAAGAGAAACTTTCTTCCGATTGTAATTAGGGTTTATTTTGAAAATGATAGCAAAAATTTTTTGAGATTTTCTGTTAAAAAATTTAAAGTACAAAAATTAAAAGAAACATGAAAACAAACTTCTAATTAAAAAATATGAAAAATGTTCATAATGTATTAAAGGGGGTAAAAAAGGGTATACAAATTGTAGTAAAAAGAAAGAAAAATATAGAAAGCGTATTGCCTTTCATTAATTTTATTAATTAAATTTAAATAATATGCTTAAGAATATTGCACACTGAAAAACAAGTTATACAAATCCTGATCCTGTATTCAGGGAATAAGAATTTTAATACGTTAATACTGCTATAATATCTATTTTTGATAATCCCTACTTTCCACTTTTTTACTATCATCATTAGGCGAGATAAGCAATAATTAAAGCTGTGTTTTCCGTTATAGATTTCATTAGCATACGACCGCCCTCCCCCTCCCTCAAGAGAAAGAACTTTAAAGACAGAGCTAAAAATACAAAAAAAAAAAAAAACGATTAACTGGTGACACAACATCGGCAGGTAAGACCGACACAAAAGAAAAGCCGCACCGGGGGGCAGGGACTCAAAGGGGGGGTGAGCACTTGTCAAAATTAGAAGGGGGAGGGAATTCGAATGTGTAAAGAATTTGTCTATTAATCTCCTCCGCGCTTTTTATACCTTGGCAGTTACTAATGAGACATAGACCTGACGACGCCGATACCAAGACACACACTAAAAGAAACTGTGGGGTAAGAAAAAAAAAAATCGTCTTATTGCAAACGATTCGTTAATGGGGAGAGGGGTCGACGTGTGAGAAGTCTTTGTGTTGGCGGTTAAAGAGAAGGCAAGGAGTCTGTTATTTTTTTTCCCTCACAAGTCGCAACTTTTGTATCACTTGGACGTGTTTTTGGAAGACGACCGAGCTTAGGAGGTTAATTAAGTGGTGGGGGTTATTGAAGAAGATCGAATGGTAAGGGGGGGAGGGAGATGTGCTTTGGAATCGTTTCTTTCTGGTTGTATTATGTGTATGCAGTTTGTTTGTACAAAGAAGATAGAAAAATAAAAATTGCTGCAGGAATGTGACACTCAAAAAAGGCAGTAATGAGAGGAATTAGAAGAAAATAGGAAAAATAGTGTGGTTGGAACTGCAGAATTCCTTTCCTAGAAGTTATTTTAATTAAGAAGGCAATTTTAGAATTTGTTTGAAATAACAAAGCAATAGTAAGTGGTAATAGAAAAAAAGGGAAATAAAAATACATTTTCCGAAGTAGGACTTTATTTTTACTTTCTGTTATTACGGATTCATAACAGAAATTAGTAAATTAGAAATTAGAAAAAATAACCTTCTATCCTAGAGTTCTTTTATTGCGAGCAAGAAAATTATTAAGACACTTATGCAGCCAGGGTTACGACAGCGAATCAAGATGCCAATATATATATGTGTGTGTGTTACGCGATCAGTTTAGGTTTGGTTTCTCGCTCTACGGTCATTTTATCATTCATTGGGCAAATTAGACAGGGTTCTACAATTTAACGTGGTGTCCGAACCACTAAAAACATTCATGTCACCGCCAGGACTCTAATCTGAAGCCTGTGGTACCAAAGGCACCAGACCGCATGCGATCAGTTTAAGCTAGATTAAGATATACTAAATCTTCAGATTAAGGCACTGAATTTTAAAAATTCATTTCACACCCAAAACCTAAATTAATGAAAGAAAAGTCTCCATGGCACATATGAAATTTTTTTAAATCTTTAGGATACTAAGTCTTACCATTTAAATGATTTATTTCAAAGAACTTTTTCAAATTAATTTTATCTTAACAAAGTATTTCCATGCCCTCTCCAGGATTCGCCCCTGAAGCATTTAAAAGTATTTGCAAAGCCAGAGCGCTAGCCAATTAGCCGTCAGACCTCTTGGGTATTTCTGAGTCACAAAATTTTCTTATGATTTCTATAAGGTAAAAGAAAGTACTCTCTAGTGCGTATTAATGTTAAGAGTGCTGAAATATGTTGAAGACAAATGTAAACAAATTAATTGCAAATGTATGCTAATGACGTAGATGAGTTAATGAATACTTTTATATCAGCAATTTGTCCAAGCATATTTTTGCAAACAATTCACAGAGGTTTCAAGAAGGAAGTAATTTGCATTGACCTTTTTCAGAAAACTCTTAATAAGTAACTCCAATGAAAAATAAATAAAATAAAAATAAATAAAATTCCCAGAGCCCTGGAGGCATAGAGAATCGATAAGAATATCAAAATAGTTATGCAATATTTAGAACGCTGTTCTTTTTCCCCTACCTACTAAAGCAGTTTTGTCACATTTCTATCTCAGAAATCTAAGCAAGAGATCATTAAATGGCTCTTAACAATAGTCCAAATCGTGACATGGAATCGAAAATATCTCCCGCTTAGCTAAATCCGTCCAATTCCAACTCGCTTAGTATTCTCTGGGGGTTATTTCGAACCTTTACTCCAAGCATTCTTTGCTTTTAGACGTTCGCTGATACTATCTTTTCCCGTACAGTGTCGCGTGCTGCCATGGCAACGGTCACCATGACGACGGCAGCGCGTGTCATTAGATGAGACGCCGTCGCCCCTCCCCCTCTCTTCCCCCTTTTCCTCGGAAGCTGGACAGTCAGTCGGAAGTCAACGATCTCTCGACCAATCAGGAGCTCCGTTTGGTCGCCGTCGCCCTGGCAACGGTCAAGAGAGACTCAACCACCGATTCGGTTCTGTAGTAAGACCAGCTCTTATTTTATTGCAATTTTTTTATTTTTCATTTATTTATTATTATTTATTTTTTTTTTGTGAAAGAAAAAGAGATTAAAGTACGACAGAAAGTAAAGAATTTTGCGGAGGGGGAATAATATGTCTTATTTAGCCTTTCTTTTTCTTTATTTATGGGTTCATTTCTCCTTTTTTAAAGAAGTTTACTTATAAAAAGCTTTACAAGCCATATCTGCTGATATGACGTATCAATTATATCGTTCGTTGCGATTTTTTGTTACGAAAAAGTAGTAAAAATCAGCAGATTTATATAATAATCAAATGTTCTACACAATGATTTGATTTTTTTTTATTTCAATAAATATATTATTTTCAGAAAAGTTTACAGTTTGAACGTTTAGATTTAAGACTTAACTTAAATTTATTACTTCGGTATTGAAAATACATATCATACAATCTAACGTACAATGTATATGATATGATGAAATGCACAATGCATTAGATTTTCTTTCTTATTTGTTTAGATATAAGGGTAACTTAAATTTATTATTTGTCATTGGAAACACATATGATACAATCTAATGTACAATGCATATGATATGATCTAATGTACAATGCATAGGATATGATCTAATGTACAATGCATTAGATTTTCTTAGTTATTTGTTTAATATTAATGTTATTCTATTTCTATTTCTAGTTATTCCCAGTTTAATTTAGATTTAAGAATTAACTTAAATGTAATACTTTGACATTGAAAACACATCTAATGTACAATGCATATGATATGATCTAATGAACAATGCATACGATATGATCTAATCAACAATGCATTAGATTTTCTTTATTATTTGTCTAACATTAATATCTATTTATAGATTTGTATGTATCATATGCTATATCAATGGCATATATATGCCAACAATTCACTCCTATTATTTACAGATAAAAACATTAACACACGGAGCACAAAGTATAATCATGATTTGATGAATTCAAAAAAAGGAAGGATATCTTTAAGGTATTTTTTATTATACATTTCGTATAAAAAAATTCAAAATAATTTGATTTTCCTTTTATACTTCAATAAATAAATTAATTTTAGAAAAGTTCACAATTTGAAAGTTTAGATTTAAGTGATAACTTGAATGTATTACTTTGACGTTGGAAACACATATGATTTAATCTAAATGTACAATGCATATGATATGCTCTAATGCATATTGCAAAAAAATTATCATATGAAAATCTAAATAAAAATATTTTTTAAAATTATAATCAATCAATGTTGATTAAAAATCCAAATTGATAATCAATCCAAGTTGATCCAAAACTAATTATGTTTTTTTCGCCATAATATTCAATTTTCTAAATTAAAACTGTTTTTGTTCTTGTAAACTATTTATCATGTAAAAAATAAATATGTTGTTGTTGTTTCTTATCCCACTTGGCTGGCCAAGCCCACGAGCCCATACGTACTCCTTGATTGAAGGGGAAGGAAGCAGCTTCTGTTGTGATGGAGCACCCGTAGGTAGAAGTCTGACTTTTGGCTCCGTGACGCTCTTACAGTCATGGGAGACCGGGGCATACGGCTTAAAGTGGATTCCGAAACACTACAAACATCCATGGCACCGCCGGGATTCGAACCCGAAACCTAAACGCTAGACACTTCATTCAGGTCCCAAATTTGTGAATGCCAACGGCACGCGGTGTTCTCAGGTGGTCACCCACCCAACAAATGATGCTTTTGACTTCGGTGATCTAACGAGAACCGGTATATTCAGCATGGTATGACCGTTGGCTTTTAAAAATAAATATAATTTATTGGATACTTAATAAAAAATGTAAATAAATAAGAATTCTTAAAAATATTTATAGTAGGCAATTTATCCATAAAATAATTTACGGTGTAAGTTTTAAATTTGTTTATTTAAACCAGCATTCTCAATTTTTAAAAAAAATGTTTGTATTATAACCAAATTTATGAAACTAAACATTTGCAGGAAAAAAAAAAAAAACTGTTATAAAATGTATTTAAAAAGTCTAATATTTTAAAATTTAGCAAAATATTATATAAAATACTTATAAAATTTATTTGAATAAGCTCAAATTTGTAATTTTGCTATTATAGTATATTTAGTTATATCTAGCAATATTTCTGTTTTTGTAGATTCGTTTTGTTTATATTTCATTTCATGTGAATATAAACCCTATTTTAAAATCACATAATTTTCGTGCTAAAAGTAGAAGTAGAATATTTAATTAACGAAAGTAGAATATTTTTTATTTGAAGTAATTTTCGTAATATAGAATTCAAATTATTAAAAAATTTCTTTACTTTAAGATATGTGTTCCTAAAGCCCTTTTTATGCCAAAATTTTTTTACGCGAATTCGGAATCACGCATTAATAATAACTTGTATTCAATTTTATGTGACCAACACAAAGTTTAAATTAGGGGAGAAGAAATTCTAAGTATTTTGTAGAGCAATTACAAATATTTTAATTAAGAAAATTCTAAATTTCTCGAATTACTTCCATAAACCTCTCTCTCTCAAAAAAAAAAAAAAAAAAAAAAAAAAAAAAAAAAATTTATAAAGTCAGTAATCATGATTCATAGACAGTGTGATCTGATCTATAAAAACGTTTCTATTTAATATAAAACTATTTAAGTGTATTTCTATTCACTAAGAAGTTTTTCAGAATTTTGTTGTTAAATTCCTGTTATCTATAAAGTCATTAATCATGATCAATAGAGTGTGTAATCAGGTCTACAAAAACGTTTTTATTAAATATGAAAATATTTAGGAGTATTTTTATTCACTAAGAATTCAGAATTTTCAGAATTTTGTTGTTAAATTTCTTAATTGATACTATATATATAAAAATTATATATAGGACATATAAAAAAATATTTTTAGATATTTACAGATTTTTTTTTTTACATATTGAATTAAATATTGAAGCATGGGTAAAGCATGTTACATCTGCACTATTTAATTTAAATTTAAAATAAAGCCAATCATATATTTATTAAATATGTTCTTTGCAATTAATATTTTTATAAATATATTTTATATTTTTATATATTCCGCTCTAAAATTATAAAAAATCTATATATAACACCATATAGATTCCTTTAAATAAATAAATTAATTAAAAAGGAAAACATTTAAAGAACTATTCTGTAGCTTCAAGGTAGCAAAGGAGCCCTCACCTGAAGTATGAGGTCTCCTTCAGGAAGGATGTCGTTGTACATGTGATCCCTGGACTTCATGGCGTGATCCTGAGAAGACCGCTCCTGGTCCTGATACAGCGCAGCTGAAAATCAAACAAATAAAAACATTGTATTCCTTCATTGATAAATCTTAAGAATAAGCTTAGAATAATTATGTCCATTTTCATTTTTTCCCCTCTTATTTATTCAATTAGTAAGACTTAAAAATTTATATAAAGAATATTCTAAAAATTAAAATAATGAAATAGAATATTCTAAAATTAAAATATTGGAATACAATATTCCAACATTAGAATATTGGAATACTGCCTGAGAAGCACTGAAATGCGATAAATAAAATCCATTTATTCCACACATATTACTTTAAGTCATTAAAATATAAGATCGATATATATTTTTTCTAGGCATAGAAATATTTTGAAAAGAGAATAACGCCATTTTTTTTTTTTTTTTTTAGAACAACATTCAAACTTCCTTCAAAAGAATTTTTTCGAAATGAATGAATGTGGAATGAAAGAATGTAATCGAAATGAAAGAATGTGGATTTCGATTTCGGTCATAATTTCCACGCCTCATTAATTTTTTCGAGCTCTCAGACTTGAATCTCCAGACAACATTATTAATTCCAGAAAATGGAAGTTCCAATCAAACAAAAGAACACTCATTTGCAGTGATTTCCCCAGATATTCCGGGAAATCATTATTAGATTATATATTTCTTCTGTCATCATAGAAGACAGAAGAATTCTAAGATATAAAAAAAAATTTTCAATTCAAAGATATAAAGAATATTCTAAAAATAAAATGTTGCAATAGAATATTCTAAAATTATAATATTGGAATAGAATATTCTAAAAATTTGAATACTGGAATAGAATATTCTAAAATTAAAATATTTCAATAGAATATTCAAAAATCAGAATAATGGAATAGAATATCCTAAAATTAGAATATTGGAATACTGCTTGAGAAGCATTGAAATGTGATAAATAAAATCCATTTACTTCCCATTTATTCCTTTTGCACATTAAAATATAAGATAGACACACTTTTATAGATATAGAAGTGTTTCGGAAGGAGAATAACACCATATTTTTTATAGAACAACATTCAAACTTTCTTCAAAAGACTCCTTTTACAAAAGGTTTTTAATTTTTTGTTATGAAGATTATGATTTTTTTTATAGAATATTCTAAAACTAGAATATTGGAATAGAATATTCAAAAATTAGAATACTGGAACAGAATACTCTAAAATTAGAATACTGGAATAGAATATTCTAAAATTAGAATATTGGAATAAAATATTCTAAAATTAGAATATTGGAATAAAATATTCTAAAATTAGAATATTGGAATAAAATATTCTAAAATTAGAATATTAGAATACTGTTAGAGAAGCACTGAAATACGATAAATAAAATCCATTAATTTCACATTTAACCCTTTTACACATTAATATATAAGATCGACATATTTTCTAGGCATAGAAGTGTTTTGAAAGCAGAATAACGCCATTTTTTTTTTTTTTATAGAACAACATTCAAACTTTCTTGAAAAGACTCCATTTTCAAAGTTATTTTTTTATGAAAATTTCGAATTTCGGTCATAATTTCCACGCCTCATTAATTTTTCAGAGCTCTCAGACCTGAGTCTCTGGAACATTATTAATTCCAGAAAATGGAAATGAGGTCCAATCAAACAAAGAACACTCATTTGCAGTGATTTCCCCAGATATTTCAGTTGTGGAAGTCACGTACTTCTGCCGTTTCCCTAACTTCTTCGTTTCTTCGTCTTTTTGGAAGGGAAAGGGGTGAATTAGGGGCTCATTGATTAAGGGTCAAATTACAGGGTGTCCGCTGGTTGGATGAAGACATTTTCCTTTCCTTTTCTTTGTTCCATCGGTTTGTGACACGTGGACATTACCACCAAAGCAGCACCTGAAGAAGTAACTAATGAGAGAGGCGGAAAAAATCGTTTTCCATCAGCTGGGTCTGAAGGCAGAACAATTCAACTCGACTCTACTTAAATTAATTTGAGTGAATGGTTCGAGAATAAATGGTTTAAGGCCCATAAAGAATTATTTTCAACGATATTTATGAGTTGAGGAAATTGAAAATGGTTATTGACTTCTTTTGAATGTCCGAGAACATGTAACATAAATTCTTTTTATTTTATCGTTTAATCTCCAAAATAAAGGATTTAAAATGATGCAAAATGAACTATATTGGAATATTGTTACTTATATATAATAAAAAAATTTTGTTTTAAAATTGGAATATTTTTAGATATATTGAAATGTTGCAAACTTGGAGTATTTATGTTAGGAAATTAGAATATTAGAGTGGAATATTCTAATATTAGATTATTGGAATAAAGTATTCTAAAAAATTAGAATATTGGAATAGAATATTCTAAAAATTAGAATATTTGGATATAATATTCTAAAATTAGAATATTGCAATATTCTAAAAAATTAGAATATTTGAATATAATATTCTAAAATTAGAATATTGGGATAGAATATTCTAAAATTAGAATATTCTGGAACAGAATATTCTAAAATTAGAATATTGGGATAGAATATTCTAAAATTAGAATGTGTGTTATACATAAATTCATCGAAAATTAATGTTCAGATGAATATGTGCGCTAGCTAGCATTCGAAATATTCGTTCATTCGTTATTTAACATTGGTTCTAAATTTTAACAACTATAACATAATTTTACATCGTCAAAAGTTATTTAACATGCAAAAAAAAAAAAAAAAAATTTGATTAAAAAGGAAAATGTTATGAATATATAATTAATATGAACCTTTTTTTTAGAATGAGGTTTTGTATCGAAGATATTTAAGAAAGAGTCTGACATAACTTTTTACTAGTTCATTAAGTTAATATAGTTCAAAAATTCTGGAACCTTTTGTGTATGATTTATATGGCAATATATTAAAAAAAAAAAAAAAAAGAAACATGTTAAAATCATTGAAAATGAACTAAAAATAAGGAAAACCATAAAAAAGGAGGATATTATTATATAAATTCAATAAAACATATAAACTATTTATGTTATTTGATTCTTCCTTTTACTAGTAATTACAATACCGACCATTGAAAGGAAAATATATTAGGAAATCATTTCTAGAAAACAACATTTGCTTAAGACGCTTACATAAAAAGCAATAAACTATTGCTATTCAACCACAAGCCGAATAATGAAAACACATTTTCTGCAATTATCTACTTACGTAAGCTGTAATAAATAAGGCTTTAGATTCTTCTTACATAGTATGACGTCACTGCTTTTATAGCTAAAATAACGTGGTTATAGTTTTAGTATTTGGTTTATTAATTACTAGAATTTTTTCCAAAACGAGAAATAGACAACCTAGCGCAATCCTGTAAAAAGATTTTTTTTTTTTATAATATTTAAAAAAAAAATTATTTTGGTGGTAGCAGAATTAGATAAATTTCTTTTGAAAAGAAACAAAAAAAAATAAAAGTTGTATTTATAACAATACAAAGATTGAGGTATTTTCAAACATGACCAAAGAGTTCACCGGTT